TTCGGGGCGCTGCCCTGAACCTAAAAAATTTAGTTAGCCCCCTTCATTTTAATTCTGATTCCGCCCCTCAATAACTATAAATATTGACAAACAGTAGCTGATGACTAATCCCAATTAAACTCCAAAATCCTTAAAAAGGCCAAACTTATATAATTTAATAAATTCGACTTTTTCTACTTGTATAAGATACGTGATAGAATTGATATGGAATTTATTTGATAATTATTGTACCAGTGATGAATTCTCTAATTATTGCAACCAATTATGAAGGGGTACTACTTCCGATCCAAAAGGTTTGATATTTGGAACAAGTTTTTTTATTTTGATTTCTAAAATTGTAGCTTCCAATTTTTTTTGGAAACGAAATTGGAACTAGTAAAAAAATATTTGGAATTTGAAAGTTTTTAGATAATTTCCGAAAATACCAACTCCGATGGGTTCCATGTGAGTCTCTCGTGATGAGAACCAACTTATTTAATTCTTTGTTTGTTTCTTTCTGTCTATTCTTGATAATTAAAGAGTTGTGCTATTTCCACCCTCAAATTTTCTCATTTCACCACCTTATTTTAAAAATATAAATAAATGGTATACAAAATATCATAAATACCCTTAATAATTTATATTTTTTATATCATCATTTTAAAATTAATCCACCACCGTCCCAATATTTTGCATCTTCTACATATTTCATCTCCCCCAAATACCTATAACAAAAAGTCTATGTACAGTGTATGAGAGATTTCCATGTCTTTGCGTTGCCTTCTTTCACTCGAAAATCAACATAAACAACTTATTTCATAATTTTATACTATCAAAATCTTTGTTCAAATATTTAGGCTTTTAAATATCACTGTAACTTTTTTACTTTTCATCTTTTTTCAGTAATTATAACTTATACCTGTAATTAATTTATGATTGAATTGCACTTTTAGGGTTGCTTACTTTTCTTATAACGATCTCTATTGCAGCCATAGAAGAATGCTTTAATAAGACTTAATTCTTCACTTTATCTATTAAAATTGGTTTATAGGATTGGGTTTTTTTTTTTTTTTCTTCTTCTGGATTGAAACATGATAATTTATTTGATAGATTATCGGTCTACCTAAAGTGAGTTTCTCGTAAAGGATTATTGGGTTGAAGAAATTTGTTTTTTATGCTCTAGGGTTTTAATAAAGCAGAAGAAGATGAAGATGGAGAGAGCCGAAGTGATGGTGGTGGATTAGAAATTATGTAAAATAAAAGAATATTAATTAAGGGCATTTAGGATATTTTATACATAATTATTTTAAATTTTTAAAATTGAGTGGTGAAATGAGATGATTTGGTGGTGGAAATATCACAACTCTAATTAAATCATAGTAACAATGAATATTGTAACATTTTTTCTAATTCATCACGCACAACAAGACGCTGATGCACCCCGTCACGTGACATGATATTTTTTTTTGGGTAATGGCAAATAGGCCCATGACAAGGGCACTTAATTAAAAAAGGGACATCCAACTTTTTTGTTTCTCAAATAAACCCACCCCATTCAAACTTATTTGCAAATAAGGAAAATCCCTTTATATATACCAAAATTACCCCCAATTCATTGAAACCCAATTCAACTCCAATTTCATGATTTACACCCCAATTTTGCCCAATTTCATCAATTAACCAATTTTAACCCTAATTTCAATTTTGACCCCAATTTTAACCCTAATTCTTATCAATTCCACCCATTATGCTCTAACTTCTTAAATATTACACATTGATCCCCGGATTTAAACAAATATATCACATTAACCCCCAAAACTTTTTTTTTTTAGAAAATAAATTTTTTTTCTGAAATATTTTTTTCCGGCCAGATTCCGGCGTTGACCGC